CCCACCCCCTCCCTCCTCCCTATGTTAACCACAGAAACATTTCCTCATGACACTCTTCTTGAAGCTTTTGACTAGATGGTGGGGTGGGAGGGCGGTGGAGGGAGGTGGGGGGTGGGGGTGAGTGGGAGATAGGGATGTTGCGGTGCTGTGTACACACGCTACTGACATTGGTTGGCAGTTTTTATGCTCTGGCCCACTTATTTGTGCCATGCTTTATGGGTTTCTGTGCTGCTGTTAGTAGAGGGCGGAAGTAGGTTAGTAGCGTTTATGCCTGCTGTTATTCTCCCTCCTCCTCCTCCTCCCTCTACATACCTCTTAACTTCTCCCACTTTTGTCGATAAATCTTCAATAGAGGGTTGTGCTTTCATCCTCACGTAATATGTGCAAGACTTATAGGCATGTAATAGAGTGGACGCTGTAAACTGTTTAAAAAAAACACAGATCTCGATACGGTCTCCTCTAGTCTGACGGTTTTAAGACTTGTTGTTGTGTATTTCGAAGCAATAGGTTTTGCGTCTTTGTAATATTAAGAAGCCTGTATTTTAAAAGTCAATTATGTTGATCTGAGTCATTTTTACTTGAAAAATTTCTGACGTTTATTTTTATTATGAGTTATTACACTATCGGGGAAAAACAATTGAATAGAGCGTCAAGGTAGACCTTTCCAGGGAATAGCATCAGTGGTGGTCAAGTTTAGCACTTGTTCTACATTATATGCCTACTGGTTGCTTCCAAAATTTCAAATTGGACGAGTTCCTTTTTCACAATGTTTAGTATTGCAGATCGAAACCTAGTGGTTAAATTGTTTTGTAAATCACTCTTGTGCTCTGAGTAAGCTGATTGGACTTCACTCCAACTTTTAAATTCGAGTTTGCAAATGCTGTGGTGGCAAAACCGAAGTCACGCACGCACGCACGCACGCAATGTTTTAATCTTTTGGCTATAAGCACTGTAAACATTCTTCCGAAGGTCCGTCTATTATTTTTTTTTTGCACACATTGAATTTGCCCCATGTGTAGCAAAATATGCAGTGCCACAGTGTGTGTGTGTGTGTGGTATTCGAGGCATCAAAAATGAGCCCAGCAGGGATTTGCAATCGTGCACAAGCTTCTACGAAGCACACATCAGTATTTTGTCATTGCCATAAAAGTGTCTAACTTCAAGTCCACCTCTGCGAGAGGACGAAACGACCAATCGTTTGCTTGCTCCTTTTTTGTTCTTTTTTATTTGGTTGCCTTTCGCTTGCTGGGGGTTTTCGAGTATTTTTTTTTAGTGAATTCCTTATGCAACTGTTGTTTGTTTACGACTTCTTTCAGACATTTCAAGTTAAGGCAGAAATATCTCTCGTAGATGGGAGATGATGGGAAAGAGCGGTTTTGGGGGAAGTGGGTGGAGGAGGGGAGGGGGGAGGGGGTTGGACATATTCCACTTTATTTTCGATTTAATCCTTTTTTCATAATCAAATTTTTCTTCTGCTTTTTTTGAGAATTTTTTTTTGTTAAGAGCTAAGTACTCTAAGGGTTTTTTTTCAAGGAGTGAATGGTGATAAATGAGCTTTGGTGAGTTAAAATAGCCAATGAAGAGATGCATTGTGGGACGTATGGATGTATAATTCTCTTTCTAACTTGAATTGCAAATTTTCATCTGAAAGCGTTTCAAAAGAGGAACTCACGCTCTGTAATATCTCCTGACTAATTGTAGGCAGAATAATTGGTCATAACATTCACTGAACGTGCACTCTTTGAACATTATTATTTCAAATGACGGGCATTTTGAATGGTTATCATTAGCCATTGAGCTAACTTCGGGCTTCACAGGGGGAAGGAACATCAAAATGAGAAAAAATTGAGAGGGGGAACAGAAAAGTGATTCACAGGTGTAAGAGATAGACAGACACAAAGGAAGAGAAACGGTGAGGTGAGGACTGTGGAAGTAGTCGAATATGGCATACAGTGGGGTCATGGTAGTTAGAAAATAGAAGTCAACTGTCAGTTAATAGACTTTTTGCCGTATGACTATACGTTGCCCAGGGTACACCACGTAGAGGTAAGTCTATTGCACACCCCTCACCATTGAACATCAAATCAGGCGACCTCTGGCATTGAATTCATACAAGTTGACTGTGTTTTTGGGAAGATGTCCCCATTCGTAATGAATAATACTGCGCAACAATTAGTAGCAGATTTTCAGTGATGCTAATTCCTTCTGTGATATGTTTTTTTTAGTACAGCTACTTTGAATGTGGCGCTCATTTGTGTGTATGTGTGTGACATGTTGGAATTTTCTTACTCCATAAATAGGCTGATTTAACCATATGAACATCTCGGGATGGCTCCCAACCAACGCATATTGTCCAATTGCCTTGGGAATTTAGAGGGAAAGTAGACTATTTGTTAGGAAAAACCCACTTTGTCTGTAGTTATTTAATACCCTCCAGTAAGGTTGGCTGGTGGCTTTGTTAGGGTTAGTTGTTGTGCGTGGAAGTCGAACCCAAGTGCCGACCTGTGTGCACTTTCGTTACCCCCCCCCCTCCCCCCAACCTATTTCGCCTCCATCGCCGATTCGAATGTACCATGAAACATACATCTGTAGAGTGTCTTGGACTTTTGGTGTTCTAGTAGATCCTATTCTTTCAGCCTCAAAGTTGAGAATCTGTAAATTCAACAAGCAAAAAAAGATAATGTTTTGATTACACACAAGCTACATCTGCGAATGCGTTTTTTTTATGCCTTTACCGACTTCAGCGTCTTTATTGGTCAGTCGCTTTGTGTCTAGACCATTTTAATGCGTAGTTTTGTGTCTTTTTTGCCGCATCATTTACGCGAAATTGGTTGTGATGACAAAGACTGCCTCGCCGTTTCTCAGTCTTAAGGGAACTTTCGGTTGTAATGCCGTAATTCCGTTTTCATTTCACGTTTTCATTAAATACACACAAACTCCCTCCCAATTTTTCTCAAGAAATTATGCCTGTTTACTCACCTCAGTGCTTCGAATCGTGTTACCGGTTATAATGCCGTGTGTGTGTATTTTACGATTAATGCCGAAAAGTGGTACTTTCCTTTATAAAGTTATTGATTGCAAACATCTCAATTGTCCGATCTAAGGAGGCACTGCAGAAATGGTGTTGAGTTGCAGAGAAGTTGAGCTGAATATCGACCCATTGTTAAGTGATAGGCTTGTCGAATCCCAAGGCTTGAATACTATAGGTACTGAACCAACACACCTTGTTCCGACTTTGTGTTACTGTAGCATTCCAGTTAAACATGTTGGAAACCACTAGCTTGCGTCATGTCTGATATGCTTCGATAGGGGGGAGGGGGGGGATCTTGTCTAGCCCACCCCCTACAATATAGAACGCTTTTATGTCGATGGTCTTCGGGAGGAAGGCTTACCTTCCTTTCCAAATACATCTCCACTTTCGTTAGACACTTCACAATTTCACTGAATTGAGATTGGCATTACCGTTCTCAGTCATTTACTACTTCGCCTAAAGGCGAAAAGTATTTATTTATTTATTTATTTATATCAAATGGCAGGCATTTTGATAGTTATCATAAGCCCTTTAGTTGACTTCAGGCTTCACAGAGGGGAAGGAACATCAAAGTGAAAAAAAGTCGAGAGGGGGAGGGGATGGGAACAGATGAGGCACAAAGATAGAGTGAAAAAGATGAGGTGAGTACTGGGTAAGTAGTCGAATATGACATGCAGTGGAGTGATGGTGTACAGTGGAAGTGGTCGAATATGCCATACAGTGAGGTCACGGTAGCTTGAAGTCAGAAGTCAACTGCCGATTAATAGACTTTTTTGCCACATGCAGTCAGAAGTCAACTGCCGGTTTATAGACTTTTTTGCCGTTTGAGTAGTCAGAAGTCAACTGCCGGTTAATAGACTTTTTTGTGAAGTGAGAAGTCAACTGCCAGTTAATAGACCTTTTTGCGTTGAAGTCAGAAGTCAACTGCCGGTTAATAGAATTTTTTTGCCGATAGTGAGAAGTCAACTGCCGGTTTATAGACTTTTTTGCCGCTTTGAAGTCAGAAGTCAACTGCCGAATAATAGACTTTTTTAGGGTAGTTTGAAGTGAGAAGTCAACTGCCAGTTAATATAACGAATATGACATAGAGAAGTCAACTGCCAGTTAATAGATCATGGTAATTGAAGTCAGAAGTCAACTGCCGATTAATAGACTTGGGGTCATGATAGTTTGAACTCAGAAGTCAACTGCCAGTTAATAGACTTACTCATGGTAGTTTGAAGTCAACTGCCAGGTAATAGACTTTAGTTTGAAGTGAGAAGTCAACTGCCGATTGATAGACTTTTATTTGAAGTCAGAAGTCAACTGCCAGTTAATAGACCTTTTCAGTCAGAAGTCAACTGCCGGTTTATAGACTTTTTTGCCGTTTGAGTAGTCAGAAGTCAACTGCCGGTTAATAGACTTTTTTGTGAAGTGAGAAGTCAACTGCCAGTTAATAGACCTTTTTGCGTTGAAGTCAGAAGTCAACTGCCGGTTAATAGAATTTTTTTGCCGATAGTTTGAAGTCAACTGCCGGTTTATAGACTTCGAATATGACATAGAGAAGTCAACTGCCAGTTAATAGATCTGGTCATGGTAGTTTGAAGTCAGAAGTCAACTGCCGGTTTTGGGGTGATGGCAATTTGAAGTCAGAAGTCAACTGCCAGTTTAGTGAGGTCATGGTGGTTTGAAGTCAGAAGTCAACTGCCAGTTAAAGTGATGGTAGTTTGAAGTCAGAAGTCAACTGCCGGTTTACGGACTTTTTGCCGTATGAGTATACGTTGCCCAGGGTGCACCGCGTGGAGGTAAATCTATCCCACACCCCCTTGAGTCTGGCGCCTTAGACCGCTCGGCCACACTGACGGCGAAAAGTTAAAAGGCTTATTTGCAAACAAATAGGAATTTACTAAGACAACACGCGTCTTAATAGAAGCCTACCAAATATATTTTTGCTTATTTATTATTCGTAGCTGCTGCTTCTCTCTTAATTTGCGTCAGACTTGAAATTACCGTTCCCTTACAGCAAAAAAAGTGACCATTTATTTGGATTTAATTGCTACGCGCTTGTAGAGTAATTCATAATTTTATTATACTACCTCCTGTTCCGTAGGTAATTTACAGCCATTGACAGGTAGTCGTTAATTCGACATGACTGAAAGCGGGTGGGGGGGGGGGGGGGGGGGGGTTGGAGGAATGTGCTCCCTTTTCCCCTTATATGTCAACTATGCTTTACGCTTCGATTATTATTGGACTTGTGAAAATAATTCTTAGTTATTCTTCACACTTAACACACACACACACACACACGCGAGCATTATTCCTGTATTATGGTAAGAATACCTTCTGCAGTTGAGTGAGACACTTTGTCGACATTTTGTCGTGAGAATTGAATTCAAATGGAATTTCCGTGTGAAAGACTTACTTTAGGCTAAATAGTGGAGTGATCTTCCCAGTCGCCCTACCCTGGCACTCCTTGATGCTGACATTTATGCATTGTGGACTGTGGGTGGGGCCTGCTTATTCCCCTGTCCGCTCTGCAAGGCCTCCCTGAAACATAGATCTCGACTTAGGTGTTCATGTTCTCCTTTGGAATTCATCTAAATGAATAATAGTCGTGTTTACTAAGCTCCATTTCTTATAGACTTGATAGTTCACCACCACCGCCTCGACTTCCCACCTTTTATTGCGCTTCGTGGGCGCCTAGAAGACCTGTGACATGAGTCAGACACTAGCCCCAACCCCAGCTATAATCTTGCAATTATTCGTTAAAACAAACTAGCCAATAGCAGAATTGCGTGATTCGTGGTAAATTTAACGGACAAAGGAAATAAAAAATGAGCGTTGTATTTTTTCTTATCTCAAAGGAAAAAATATTTACTTAGATATTTGTTTGTTGCTTCAATTGCCTCTGCTCGGCACATTCGTTTGACTTAGCCAATCAAGTCTTGCCGTCTTAGCTTGAATTGAAGGCTTCAAGTCGAAATGTTTATGATGCATCCTATTTTAGCATAATCTGTCAATGTTGACAAAATCCTGGAGGGTGGGGGGGGGGGCTCTAATCGACTGTTTTTCGCACGTAGTTGTGGCGGGTTGACGACTTCCAGTAACAGCGTTTTTTGCATCTTATCTCCAAAATCGATTTTGTTAGTTAAAAAATCTCACAAGTTTACTGTGGTAATCCCTTTCCACTTCCTTGAAGCGGAATGTGAACAAGTTTGTTTACTTCCTCCTTTTCCGTGGCTTTAATTCTTGATCAAATCTTTTGAGCATTTAATGACGATTTGGCTACTTTAAAGACTTCAATGCACTTGGAGATACTAATGCTAACTTATGGTATTGTGGTTGAAGCACTTTCAAATTTGTAAAATACGAATCTCTGAAATTCCGTATAATGAGTCATGTAACGACCGACAAATGGTTAATGTATTTATTTATAACAAATGGCAGGCTTTATGATAGCCGCCATTAGCCCTTTAGTTGACTTCAGGCTTCACACAGAGAGGAAGGAACATCAAAGTGAAAGAAAGTCGAGGGGTGGGGGGCGAGGAGGGAAGAGTATTTTTCCAAGGTGAAGGTAGAAAATGTAGAAAAAAAGGTGTGAGTACTGTGGAAATAGTGGATCATGGCAGTTTGAAGTGAGAAGTCAACTGCCGGTTTATCGACTTTTTTGCCGTATGGGGAGAAGTCAACTACCAGTTAATAGACTTTGCCGTATGAATATACGTTGCCCAGGGTGCACCACGTGGAGGTAAGTCTATTGAAAAACGAATGCCGAGTGATAGAATTTTTGCCGTAAGAAAGTACGTTGCCCAGGGTGCACCACGTGGAGGTAAGTCTATCGTAGTTAACTGCCAGTTAATAGACTTTTTGCCGTATGAATATAACGAAAGCCGAGTGATAGACTTTTTTGCCGTAAGAAAATACGCTGCCCAGGGTGCACCACGTGGAGGTAAGTCTATCGCACACAAACTTCCGGTTAATAGACTTTTTACCGTATGAGTATACGTTTCCCAGGGTGCACCACGTGGAGGTAAGTCTATCGCACACCCACCAGAGTGCACCACGTGGAGGTAAGTCTATCGCACACCCCTATGGTTAATGTAAATCCACTCATAAATCTTCCGGAAATTCCTAGCTTCTGTGTTGTTATTAAAAGGGAACTGAGGTGATAGTTATCAACTTTCCCCTTTCCTTCCACAACAAACGTTGCTACTTTTGGAGAGTACTTGGAAAAATTGTGTTCATCTTGTATGCTTTGGTTAACGTTGATTTTTCGCCAAAATTTCATTAATTTTTTGAAATTCAGTTCTTTCTTACGTCGTGGCTTCTTTTTCTTGCAGGGTACCTATGCAACGGTCTACAAAGGTCGAAGTCTTCTTACGGAGAACTTGGTGGCCCTGAAGGAAATTCGACTGGAACATGAGGAAGGTGCTCCATGCACAGCCATCCGAGAAGTCAGTCTCCTACGTGACCTTCGTCATGCCAACATTGTCACTCTCCATGACATTATTCACACTGAAAAGTCCCTCACACTAGTATTTGAGTATCTGGTGAGTACATGTATTCTTACAATTTCATTCGCAACTTTTACTCCAGATGTATTTATTAGGGACACTTGTCGTTAATCTCCTCCTGCTCCGTGTGAAATTTAGTGGTGGGTTTTTAGTTCATGCAGAAAACATAAACTGTGATTGATTTGTCGTATCTCCATGTCATACTCCCTGTGTAGAGCTAAAAAAGAAGTTGGGTCTTTATCCGGGCGAGTCCATATTTAGAACAGTATGTAGATGACGGGGAGGGGGAGGGGGGGGGAGGGGGGGGGGTGGGGGTCTCCTTCATAGTTAAGCGCTGACTGTC